CTCTTTTTACCCCCCCCCCCCACCCCCACCCCCAAGCATCTTTCACTGAAATCGAGCGAACACTTGCGGAACTCTTTGATAAACTATCGCGTTGTGCACTGCCCCGCCCTGTACAGAATGGAGCGTTCACGTGAGTACACCTCTGGCTAGCTTACATGTACCAAAACCACGGATATAGCAATATATATGTGTCATTAGTGACACGGTTTATTTTATGCCTAATGCGTCTCTAGAGGTCCCGCTCTTTTAGTTTGGATTCGTAGTCTCTGGGTAATAAGCCTTTTCGTGTTCTCTTTGCACAACGGCTCAAATGACTATATAGTAACATGGGCTGTAGGGGACGCCATCTTTTTCGCTCAGTTATCACCTCGGTTCTGTCACGAGGTGTAACAACAAATCCCGTCAGTGATGAAAGTTACCATATATGGGTGTTTAGCGTGAAAATACGAGGGGATCTTTGGCATTTTTAAATACTGGCCGATCCATCGTTCCATGTCAAATTCAGACTTAGAGACACCTACTGGTAAAAACTTTGATATTAAAATCATGAACACAATTCAAAATCCATTCTTCTTATCTCAACCCAATATAGGATTTCATGCTGCAATTCTGTGACCTCGTCTGAAATGCAATAGGCATAAAATAAAACGTGTTACTAATGCAATAATACGGTTTTCCAAGAGTTAAGATAAAGAACAGAATACACGCACTGTTCCTAAAATAAGCTGAGATCGTCCAAACGTTAAGAAGTAGATCACCTTTGACAATCAGTCACGATATCACTCGAGTCTGGGACCCATAAGGTAAGTTTAATGGACCCTAGCTCGAGAACAATTCTTCTGGCAACGCGATAAAGAAGTCAGTAGACTGGAACTCGTGTTGATGACGTTCAGATAAATACCCATGGTACTAGCTGGACCGATCCAACTTTGCGGGAAGTTTTCCTCAGTGCAATCACTGTAATCTTAATTGCTAAACTGCACTCAGTGACTCAGTGTCCTCGAGCTGGGGGTATTTAAGCCGAGAAAGCTAATTACCCCGCAGATACTCAAGGTGTGTCAGACAATTAAGCTGATTAAACTGAATGCAATTTAGGGAGAATCCCCGGCAGAGTTGGATCGTTCCAGCTGGTACATGTACAATGTTTGAATATGAACGTGATCTTTGATGAAAAAAGTGCAGTCCTCTGTTTTATTTATTTATTTATTTATTTATTTATTTATTTATTTATTTATTATTATTATTATTTTTGACAATACACTTTTGCATCCTTTGTTTTCATTAGCAAAAAGATTAACGAAACGATATTCTGAGAATCCTGTGAAAACTTAATTATTTACTTTATTTGTGAACGAGACTAATGTGATGCTTATTGAATATTGATTTGTAATAATTGGGGACTGCTGTGGGGCTGACCACAGTAACCGGATAGCGTTAATTCCTTCGGAAATTAAAGTTGGAGAAAAAGCGCAGGTCCATTTTCCCCACAGAGCATTTTTATTATAATAAACAGAAGCCATATAAGCAAGGAGCTAACCTTTTAAAAAAATCGGACAGAATTTATCAATTCACAAAAATTTTGTCACGAACTTATTAAGGAAAGTACCTGTAGTATGGTCTGTCGGGATCTCTGAAGCATGGCTGTTTGTTCCCTTCGAACTGATTTACGTAACACAAGGGAGAACGGAGAGCACGCCAGTCCGTCATTGTCAATATGGAATCATTTGAAAATGTCACAACACTTGCACTACTAACATGACTGTGAAAAAATTTTCNTAAGAAGGGAGTTAGATGTCTACTCTAACGTCTCAGAAAATGTCTAAAGTGTAATTTTTTTAATAACCCAAAAAACTAGCTTGTGGCTAGGCCTTCTTTCGCGGTGTCGCCCAGCTTTTGAAAGCTGAAAAATAAACTTCATGACGTCTTTGATCGTCTTTGTTGCAGGTCACATATTTTAGTTGTTTGATGTTTTTGTAATATTCAGTTATTTCGATGAAAAGCTTGACGTTATGGTGACAGTACACAGTCAAATGTTTTACACGAAACTCGACAAACGGCATTCTCTTATTAAAGGCCCCTTTAAACTGGACGGCGCCCTTTCTGCGTCTCTTGGTACGGCCCATTTTAGAGTGAAATATATAAACATTAACGTGCTGACAACTGGACGATTATTGAGCATTCATTCTGCGCAGCTAAAGCGATGTTTGTAGCCTATCTCCTTTCTACGATCACAGTGATGTCAGTTTCATGATCGCAGAAAGGACGCCGTCCAGTGTAAAGGGGGGCTTAGAAAGATATTTCAAAAATCTTCGTTACCTGGCATTGTGAAAAATATACTGGAAGTTGGGGACAAAATGAATCAGTGAAATAAATGTGTAAAGAAAAAAATACTGAAGAGAGCTAACGCCAAAATGTATTAGGTATTATTATGAAAAGGTGTTTTTAAAATGCTTTATTTCTTGACAAAATATCAGGATGCAACATTACAGAGAACGGTCTGTTAGGTTAGGCCATTGAACTCGAATCTCGTTATTCCCATGCATCTCTATTCGACCTAGAAAAAGGACTGGTTCGTTTCTTATGAGTATTAAAGTGATCGAACCCTTCATCACTGCCTGTCTCGCCCATTTAGAAAATACAATCGGCTCATTAGATGAATACATTTAGCAAACCGTTATGGCTTAATGCTCGTTCATGCACCAAAAAAGAAACGCT